ATGTGTGTGTGTGTGTGTGTGTGTGTGTGTGTGAAGTTATTCAAAACCGTGATTTATATATTTAAATTCAACATAAATTAAAATTTAACATTTATTCTTTTTAATTCTGCGAAAAATATTTAATTTTACAGCGTAATTTAGCTTGAAATGTATAATTATGAGATAAACGCGTTATTATTCATGAAAATCATACTCATAATTAGAATACGCTTTAAACATGCTTTATGTCGTGATTCGGCAACATAACAATATTACACTTTTTGTTACAGCACCGCATTTGTTACAGCATTAGAAGATCTTACCCTGTCGCCATAGGTTTCGATGAGCAACCTGGCGTAGTCTTCAAAGTAGTCGACGAGGATGGGGTTAGGCCAGCCACCCAGTTCCTGCAGCGCCTGTGGGAGGTCCCAGTGGTACATGGTGACCAGCGGCTCGATGCCCTTGTCTAAGAGCTCGTTGATGAGGTTATCGTAGTAGTTGATACCCAATTGATTAATTTGGCTCAAATCTCCTTTGGGAAGTATGCGAGCCCAAGATATGGAGAAGCGATAGAAATCGGATCCCAATTCTGCGAGCAGTCTGACATCCTCCTCGTACTTGTGATACGAGTCATCGGCAATGTCTCCGGTGGCATTGTCTCTTATGTATTCTGGGTGTTCGTGAACCATGTGATCCCATATATTTTCTCCCTTACCTAAAACAAATTATATTTCATTACACAAAGAATTGTAGACATTATTGCTAGACACCCTACAGAAACCCTACAAAACGTGAGATGTTACTTCACTGTAAAGGAGTAAGTTGAGACCGTCAGACTTAAGATTAGTTATATTTACATATCACAGATTTTTAAACAATTTTTCCTTCATACTGCATTTAAATCGAATTTTATGAGAGACAACCTTATTGGACTAATTTCAATTAAGGTTTGCGGATTGCTTCAAATGAAATACATCAATACACTGAGAATACTAATTGTAGTATACGATAAAAATCTCACTAATATTGCTATTTTCAAAATTATTATAATTAAAATTAAATTCCTTTCCATATTCTTTTGATCCATTCCTGTTTCTCCGAGGATTTTTCTCGTGCCCGTAGTTGGGACACGCTGTATCTATTCTCATTAATTTCAAGCAGAAATTTCGCAAAAAATACTAGTTTTTTCAAACAAATGAACATGACCTTTTTTTAATGAGCTGATTTTTTGAACTGATTTTGAGTAATACAAAAATATCTCTTCCATTTTGTAGTTTACAAATATTATTTTTTGAAATTTTTGACAATATGGCGCGTTCAACGAAAACGAGACTTGCGCCATTCTTTTAATTGTCCCTAATTCTATCCGGGGAAAAATTAAGAAAATAATTAGAACAATTGTCAAATGTTTATTTCTGGCGAGGTTCAGGCCGTAAGTCCTGTGCTTCCACCAAAACACTTATTTACATTTACGTAATTACAATTGAGGCGTTCTGATACTGCCGCATATCATTATCTCATTTGACAACAATTTGGATGAGTTTTTGAGAATTTGTTTAGAAATTTCATATTTTTAAAGCGCAGACGCGAAAACGACTTGTTTTAAAGAAATTTTATGTTTTTTTAAGAGATAATTTTTTTACATCAAATTTCGTCTGAATAAAAAACCTTTACCTTAGTTTCAGTTTTGAAATGTTAACTTTTTGCAAATTTCCAAAAATCAGCAAGATACCCAAAAATAGGACTAGCGTCGTATTTTTTACCTGTCCTTATTACATTTGAGGAGTAAATTTAAATTAAAAATTGGTGCCGTTTCAGAGAAAAAATTATTAAAATGATTAAAAATTACCTATATTTCGCTCAAAATTACGCTATAACTACTCCTATTTTCGAAAAAGTGAACATAATCTTTTCTTAATATGTCTAAAAAAATTAACTTAGTCAAGAAAAAAAACTCTATCTTCAATATTGTAATTGTTGGATGACTCAAAATAAATATGACTTTTACAATTTTCGAAAAATCTGGAATTTCAAAAAAATCTGAGACCTGAATAATTCATCTGAAGCGTCCTTTTTGCGAACGAGAACAAAGGTATAAAACAATGGGTGCACATTTTTTAGAAAATTTTGAAAAGGTTTGAGTCTTCGTGTAATGTACCCTCAAAAGTCAAAATATCCAAATTCAAACTCCCAAAGGCTTGAGTTCATTCAGACGATCGCAGTAATATCTTTTTTAGAGAAAATCGTCAGCACTTGTTTAGGCGCTATCAGCTTTCCCGCGGAAATTGCCGTTTTCGGACACCTATTAAATAACTTTCTTTTCTACGAAGTAAGTACGAAAATGAACAAGAGCTCACCTATTTTCTCGGCGATTTTGAACTAACAATGATGAGGCTCTAATAACAAGAGGGTGCATAGCATGTGGGAGAAGGAAGAGCAATAGCGTCACGCTGAAGCAGGTGACGTAATAATTTGCCCTGATTAGAAGACAAGCAATCACGCGTTGGTGTTCGCAGGTCACGTTCTGAGTCAATATTTTGTAAACTCGCCTTATTCGTATAAAAATGAGCAATTCATACATCGCCAATCGATTTTTGGTATGTTTTTTTGCATATATATATATATAATATATATTATATATATATATATATATATATATATATAAAATTACTAGAGGGTGCTACAACAGCACTTGGACTTGGACACACTTCACTAGAACATACAACACTTTTTTCGCATAATTGGGAAACTGTCGTCATATTGAAATTTTGCAATTTCTGCTCTTTTAAATAACTGACTTATAACTAAGGTTCAATTCAAACAAAGTGCCTGTGGCGCATTACTGCGTTTATTTTCATATTGTATGCATATGTACTCCCATATGCAAGCTTGCCTTCACTATATGAAGTAAGCTTAAGAATGCCATAATAATCGATCACTTCTTAAACTATCCCTATACAGCTTTTGAGTAAAACTTCGAGTGTGCGTATGTGCGGTGGTGCGTTTGTGCGGTTCCGTCATTCGCTTTCTAGGACCACTCACTTGCACCAATCGAGACATAAGGTGTCATTCACATCTCGGACACCTGATGAGGAATCTGATAATTTGTTTTTGGATCCGGCCAGAAGATTTCAAAAAACTTTTTTTCGTGTTATATGGCGCTTCACTCTTAGAGATAATGCCAAGAATTAAACCAACGTCTCCCAAATCTACCTATGTAGGTGGCTATGATTAAATTCCAGATAACCAGAGGTATTTTTCGCACAATCGCCATAATTTATTTCACGGCGTTGGCAACACTGATGTTTACATCTGTAAGTGAACAATTGAATTAACAAGTAAACCGCAATTTCAATTTAATTCAAATTATCCTATTTAAAAAAAAAATAATTTGCGGGAACCACAAACAGTAATGCAACTTATTAACCTAGGACCTGTAGTGACATCAGTTCATGCCCTGAAGCCATCCCTCCCTGTCATTAGTAAGTCCAATGCCAGATACTGAAAGAACATAAGGCGACCTTACACCATTGTTCTTGAACACGCGCCGGGCAGCAAGCCTCTTCAAGGTTTCAAATTTCAGAACGTACGTCTAAAGGAGAGTTTCGGTTTGTGCGCAAGAGCGCGGTTCAGAATGCTGCTAGCAAAAGCGTGGGTCGCATTTGCACGTGGAGTTTCGTTGCGAGTGAACATAGTGACCAGCCGGGCGGTATTTTGAAATGGCGGATATTCGTTGCTGGGCCGGATTGGTGAGGAAGTTTTTGCCATATACAGGGAGTGCCCTAATCTATAGAAACTTTAAAAGTTCTGTGTATACTAATACAAATTTAAGAAATTAGGGGTACAGGAAGTCATCAGCATAGCTCTTCTTTAATACCTTTGTACAGAGGCATGTGATCATATTTTTGTCTGTAAATTTTACTCAAAACATGCGTTTTTTCTTGTCCATTTCCTCTTGGTATAGTGTTGTGCACTAATTCCAAGCGCTGCTATAATTTTCCTGTTACGATATCCGTGAACGGACATTTCTGATAAAGCTAATCGAAAATAGTAATCTGATTCACTATACACTGTATGAACACCACATGATAACACGCAACACGATCAGATCAATATAATAACTGCATCAACACAGAGTAGCAGCAGCAGCGGAGGAGCGTGGAACGCACGTGGGAAGGGAAAGCCGATCTCGGGAATTCCGCGCACTCTAGAACGCTGCTGAGATCTTTACACGGACGATTTTACTCTAAACGTTCTTGAGTGGCACGCAGAAGCGTGCAGAAAACAGAACCACACTTCTGCGCACCAATGTCTGCCCGCCCGCTCAAGCGCGTGGTCAGGAGCGTCCCGGTCAGATGCGCGGCTAAGAGTCCCTGTGTAGAACCCAATACCTAAACAAAGCTGGGCCAAAAAATGTTTCAATCCCATATTTTTAAAAACTGTTTACTGCGCTCGACGGTGCCACATTTTACTTGTAAGAAGTGTGTCAGTTCTAAGTTCAATCTGCTACTTCCTTAAATCTATTTCCGTTTTGCAGGAAGAGGTGGCTCAAAGCATCAACTAATGTCACCGTAGTGCCTCTGACTGGGAGGTCCTAGGTTTGAGTCACGACGGCGCCGCAGGATTGTCGGCACGAGCTAGGTCTAACTCAGTCGCTGCCTGGAGGAGAATTCTGGCGGACTGCTGCTCTGGTCGATTTCTTCGATCAATACCAGGCGATGCCATTTTCTTGATGCGTATTTTGCGTCTCATCAGGGGGAAGGGGGAATTAAAGAAAATTTTGGAGTAATTTCTGAGAAAATTTTGGAAAATGTTATAGAGCCTTCGGTGTAAAGTATTTACCCCAAATCAAAATATCCGTTTCAAATTCCAAGAACCACGATACCAGTCTGATTGATTCACGAATATCAGTTTTGTTGAAAACCTAATTGCAGTTTACCTACTAGCTTTTTACACCAAACAGACGACGGTTTGCCGTTATTCGATTTTACGGTATCAGTGACCCACCAAACGAATATTCTGACTTCACAACGTGCCAGAGCAAGTAATTTACTACAGGTAGGAACCCGATTTATCCACTTTTTTGTTGCCAGGGCCCGGAAATAGAGTTTTAATTCACTGTTTCACTGTTGATAATTCACAGTTTTACCCTGCAGCATTACAATACTTTGTCTCTACGCGTAAGCAACAGCTTGAAAGAAACAAGATAATGTAAAGAGTCTAAACACTGTTAAATACTGTGTTGCTACTTCTATCAGGAAAAATAAACCATTGTCGTATTGTTACTCCTCGAATGGTACTCATACTTGTATAACCTTACAAGTAGTTGTAGTTGTTAACATTAATGATCTTGGTGTTGTGATTGGCTCAAAACTAAACTTTAACTAACGTATTTCATTCATCGAAACATTGGGTTTTATATAGAGATACTAGACTGAAGTTTCGTCTGCTTTTACTTTAGAGAACTACGATCCGTTCTTTTCTAGAATATTATCCATTTTTTGTTTGCCTTATACTGTGATAAGACAGAAATCCTCGGTTTTATTTAAAAAGGAAAATCGACATTAATCATTATGAATACGACGTATGATATGACATGATATACGATGTACGCATATAGAACGCTTTTTGCCAAGAAGTACACGTTGTCAGGGCGATCCACAAACAAGAAAGTATATTTCATGTGCGGACAGGACACTATTCATTTGGAAGAAAGGGAACAAATCCCCAAGGGATTATATAAAGAGTGTATGGAGGAGGCAGTGTAAGTGGGTTGTTGTTTTGTTTTAAATGTCAAAACACTCACCCTCTTGCGCGACGTCGAACAGAACAGATGAGTCGACCAAAACGGTACGAGAATTTATTAGCTAAGATTGGGTTTTTTCAAGTATATACAAGTGGGTGAGATGAAATTACTTTCGATATGTCTGTCAACTGTTGTACAATTTAATAAGTTAAAGATGTATTGTTAGTTTATGTCGCAAATTGAAATTTAGATGTAAATAGACTTCGTGACCGTGGCGAAAGTATGATAGATTTGTAGATGGGAATGGTAATTTAACAATTTGTGGTAAATTTAGACAATCGCGAGATATATTACAGGGAAAGTCGTGATAGAATAATTTATTTGCAGTTTCTGTTTTCTTCACGAGACTAACATTGCGCGCGAAGATCACTATAAGCCCATGAACTTTAAGTCGTGACCGTACGGAATTACCAATATTGTATACAGAAAGTCAGATTTGATCGTTGATGAGGTCATTGATAAGTGTAATAATATAATAATAAATGTTAAATTATTATTTTTAAAAAGAAAAGTCTGATAACTGGTAGTTAATTTCCTTCAATTCAAATAACTGATTTCAAAATCAGTACTTTCAGGAATCATAATTCTGTACAAAATTGCACGTTTACATACGACAGGTAAGAAGGTAACATGTCAAGACCCACGATCAAAAACAGAATCAAAGATCTAGATAACCTTTCCATACAGAGAAAGTTCATGAGTTAAGCTGGATAGATGAAATAGATAATTACATTAATCAAAGTAGAGAAATTCATCCGTTCATGATAGTCTATGCAATGAATAAGAAATATTTATCAAGATTTATTAGTATTATTCAGGTAACAAAAGTAATTAAGTAATTAAATATCCAAAAGCAATAAATAACGTCTCAAATGGCACCTCAACGTGGAGTTTGAGAAGTGGTAATTCACAATACTTGTACATTTTAATTTATTGTCGCGCTTGAGAAAATACGATATAACTTTTTACGCAGACGCAATAATTTACTGTAGACGCAATAAGTCATCGTACAAACTGGCGATATCTACGACTCGCAATCACTGCAGCGTGCAGCACACTCATAGAAGTGTTACACGATGATGATCACCAAAGTTTCTCGGAAATTAATGTTAAAGGTCACAAAACGCGGGGTCTGTGACTCTTTTCACACTCAAAGGTTAAAACGATTTCAGTGACGCGCACTTCCAGCCACTGAGATAACTGAAGCAGGCGCGCTAGTCTGTGAGAGCAGCATGTCGTATATTGGATATCTGTAGTAGACCAGCACGGTAAAGTCCGGCAAAAAAGGCAATTTAAAAGAAGATGCTTCATTTTTATAAAAAATATATAAGAAAATTGATAGAATAAAATGTATTTTGTGAAAACAGAAAATATGTAAAGAAAATGTAATATATGCTAAATATGTGAAAATATGAAACGAAAAATTTCGATATTGTTTTAGAACAGAGACGACACGCCATTATTACAAATTTAAGATCAGTAACAAAGAAGAAAAAAATCTAATTACCAAAATCCGGTCTCTAATCGTTATTATATTGATATTATGCACTCTTGAGTAGACTTGAATCCCTCGTAAGAGACGTCTCTCGAGATGATGTTATTTCTTTTCACCTTAATTTGTAGACATTGATTGTACTGAATTTAGTCTACTTCATTTAATGCACCTCGACGCGTTCTACAAGTTATATCAACCAGTTTAAACAAAACAAACAAACAAAACAAACAAATAAATAAATAATAAATAAATAAATAAATAAATAAATAAATAAATAAATAAAATAAATAAATAATAAAATAAAATAAATAAATAAATAAATAAATAATAAATAAATAAATAAATAAATAAAATAAATAATAAATAAATAAATAAATAAATAAATAAATAAAAAATAAATAAATAAATAAATAAATAAATAAATAATAAATAAATAAATAAATAAATAAATAAATAAATAAATAATAAATAAATAAATAAATAAATAAATAAATAATAAATAAATAAATAAATAAATAAATAAATAATAAATAAATAAATAAATAATAAATAAATAATAATAAATAAATAAATTAAATTAATTAATTAATAATTAATTAATATTCAATATTATTTAATTTCTAGTGGATAGTAGTTTAACATAATATGTTACTTTAAACCTTTACTTATGCACTTTTCCTGGATGGCCGCCTCGGTGTCTGGCCCGCCAAGGCAAAATGCTTGTGATTAGTAAGATTTGAGTGTTTATTATCAAGATCTACATCTCCTTCACTTACTATCAAGATTGATGTGTTACTTTCTAGAGTTGCCAACATTAGCGGAAACGCACGAAACCCGCTTAGCTAAGCCGCGCCGCTAGGTGCCTCGAGGAGACTGGAGAAAAGCGTTTGAAGTAAGCTCGCTTTAAGCGAACTTAGAGAACTTTAATTTTGAGCCAGCTTAACAAAGCAGCTCTTAACGAAATACTGGTGAAAACGACCCGAAGTTCGTTCTTGAGCGCGAGAAAGTAAAACGTTCAATGTTCAGAGCTTCCAATTTTCAAGAGCAAACAAAAAGTTCTATGTTCCGGACATCAATTATGTTTTCTTAACATTAGTAGTTGAAGGACACTATATAGACGTCACAGAGTTCATGGACAAGGAACTTTTTTGCACAGAAAGTTGAATTTGTATTTTAAGAACAGTTTCCACCGTTAACTAAAAACCGGCAAAATGTGATATCGAACTGTTTTGTTTGCATTGATTCAAATATCCCTTAAATTTTTATTCAAACGAAGAATGTTCTTGAAAAAACATAAAAAACATTACTGAGGTATTTGAAACAGCTCTATAATTTTTTCAAGCATAATTCCATTGATTCAAATGTTCGATGGTACATGTTCAACACTAACTG